AAATTTGGCAAAGGTCACCACAAGTTACATTCATAAATATGCTGAAAATTAGGTCCAATGTAGCTGATCTTTCTCCAAATATACTTCGAATTATTGGGTTATCTACCTACCAAATTGAAGATCTGCGAGTCTAGTTTCTAACGCATTAAACCGCTCATCGATACGACATCGGAGTAGAGAGATATTCGTATTTTCGTGAGACCGCGCAAGCAGCTCCCAATGGGACCCACTTAGGCGGTGGTCGACCTACTTCACTTTATAAACGATTTGGACGCCTATTTTTAACTCATTTTCAATTCAACTTCGTCTCCAAACTTCTCCTAACCCTTCTAAATAGATACCACAAGGGTTTGAAGTGATTCCAAAGTGATAACACCATATTTCAACATCAAAACTTAGTTCTAGTAAAGAACAATACCTCTTTGAGGTTGTGTTGTCATTGAGGATTGTTGTGGGTTGTGTTTGGCTGAAATTGCAAGTTGTTGCTACTAGCTAAGTTGAGTATAACAACCTACTTATTGTGCTTAAGCTTAATTTTATGTTGGTTAAGTTGTTAAGATGATAAACTACAAGATAATACATGGATTAGCTTAAGTCACTTCTATGGTGTTGTATTGCCATTGATGGTTGTTGTAAGCTGAATATAACTTGGATTTTCACTTGAAGTTACTGTATGAGGTATGTGTATTGTGTTCTTGCATGTTCTTAAGGTTATATTGATGTTGATTAAGTTGAATGGATGGAGTAGACATGAATAGTGAATCAAGTTACTAATTGAAGATAGTTGGAGTTGATGATTGTTTCCTTTGTTATAAATATATGGTATAAGAATGGAATCATTGATGAATGACTTCATTATCATGTTAATGATACTGTTAAGTTAATGTAAGAAGTCTATAAGGGGTGATATGGGTTATACGGATTTCAGTCGGAGCTTGTCGTTCATCGTGAAGTAGTTGTGACTTGCTGTTATTATATGGTATCTTGTTATTGATATTTATATGTTGATGGATTTCTCTGGTTGTTGTTGTTGGTATATGGTATTGGAGGAGGCCCTTGTTACAGGGGATATGCTGCTCGAATTTACGTAAATAAGCTACTAGCTTAAGTTACAGACTTAGCCTTTGCTCAGCACTGATTTTGAATATCCTTATACTGTGATAGATTGAGTTGACTTGTTTGAAGAGTTGCTTGGAAGGTATTAAGGACTCAACGGGTTTAAGGTATATTAAGGCACTTCCTTCTTTCTTTTGGCATGATCTAAAATGAAATAAACATAAATGATACGTTATTTCATAACGGATCTACTCCAAGCAACTAAGGTTGCCCATATTGTTCTTTCCTTATAAATTTATTCTAAGCAAGTATATATGATCCTTAAATTCTACTGAGGTTCATATTGATGATATGGATGTACATAATGTTAATCGAAGGTGCAACGACCTTAGGTTACTCCGAAAGGTTTAGAACGTGATTCCATGAGTCCAGCATGCATTATATATAGTATCTATTTTACTCTACCGAGCCGCGCTATAGTCGGTCGGGTGCGGCACCTATTGTGCAACCACTGGTCAGTTGGGTTTATCGAGCTCTACATGATCGAATATGATTCTACCGAGCCTTATGATGGTCGAGTACGTTTTTACTGGGTCCTCTTTGAGGCCGGGTACGATATGATGATGATGATGATGATGCCCATAGAGTCGTACGTTTTTTAAAATTTATGTATATATACATTATGCATTTCATGTCAGTAGCTCCCAGAGACACTCAGATGTTACAGGTTGTATCTCATTTATCTCTCTTTACATTATTGTTCTTGTTTATGTTTTTCTGCCTTACATACTCGGAACTTTATTCGTATTGATGTTCCTTTTGCTTGGGGACGCTGCGTTTCATGCTCGTAGGTCCTGATTGATAGGTTGACAGTCCTCCAAGTAGGCTATTAGCTCAGCGGAAGGTCTTGGTGCACTCTAGTTGCTGCGGAATTGCCTATTTGGTCAGTATGCTTTGGATATGTATTGATTGGTATGGCGGGGCCCTGTCCCGACCTTTATGATTTTATGTACTCTTAGAGGCTTGTAGATAAATGTTAGGTGTATGGATACTTGTATGGCCTTGTCAGCATATGTTTTGAGTTTATAAATGGTCATGTCGGCCTTATAGGCCCGTATGTCACATGTATAAGTTTGTATATCATGTTGGATCATCATATGTTGAGTATTCCCTTATGTTTTATTCTTGTTATCTCATGACAGGTTTTCTAGTTCATTTACCCATGATAGTATGATAAGAAAGATATGTTACGTTGGTACTCAGTTGAGTAAGGCACCGGGTGCCCGTCACAGCCCCTTCGATTTGGGTCATGACACATATTCCCTTGAAAATGTGTCACAAAATCCCATAAACTCTTGGGATATTCACAAAGAGATCAAGGCATAAAATAATATCGTGATCAATAGATGGTCTTCTTGATAATCAAGTACTTCAAGAAAAATATCCATACAATGATCGACTTTCATGGAGATCAAATACATCCCGTGAAGGTTTGCATCATCCTATGTTCGAGAATAAGCTGATCCAGCCCTCGAATCACGGAGGACAATTCAGAGAAAGAATTAAGGGATAAACAGAGTTGTAACTCGTAATGTTTATCAATAAAATCACTTTATTCTTTTGTGGTTGGAGTTTATTTTTCATATGTTGGAAATTAGTTGCAAACAAATTGGCACGCTCAGTGGGACCAGTTCTGCCATTCATCTCTTCCTCCTGTAAATCGAAAACTCCAAGTTTCAAAATCATTTGTTGCGATGTAGAGTACTTCATGTCTCGTCTTAAAGTTTCGGCAAGCCCACACCCCGACAAACCTTGAAGTAGGGGGCATTTGTAGACATCAAAATTTTAAGGGATCAAGCCAAATTCTAAATTAAAGATACTATAGGACTCTTGAAATCCTAGAAGTCTATTAGGGTTTCTTGGAGGTTACTCTACCTTAAATCCTAATTCACACCTATAATAAGGGTTATATGTGTCACAAAATTCCATAAACTCTTGGGATATTCACAAAGAGATCAAGGCATAAAATAATATCGTGATCAATAGATGGTCTTCTTGATAATCAAGTACTTCACGAGGAATATCCATACAATGATCGACTTTTATGGAGATCAAATACATCCCATGAAGGTTTGCATCATCCTATGTTCGAGAATAAGCTGATCCAGTCCTCGAATTACAGAGGACAATTCGGAGGAAGAATCAAGGAATAAACAAAGTTGTAACCCGCGATGTTTATCAATAAAATTACTTTATTCTTTTGTGGTTGTAGTTTACTTTTCATATGTTGAAAATTAGTTGCAAACAGATTTTCAAGAAAATAAAATTAAATTGCGTCAAGAAAATAAAATTAACATCGAATTGCACCAATCGTAGTATTTTATTTCAAATAATATGAGTGTACAATCTTTATGAATCCTCAGGTGGGACAATGTACTGGTTTCCATTCATACACTACTCTTTGTTCTATAATCTTCCCATATTCATTTTCAAACATGATTGTTGATGGATACTGTTAATTAATTGATACCTCAACAAGTATCCTAGCAAATGTAAGTCTTTCCTTCTGTGATGTAGCACTATCTGCCTTCAATGGTTTTCCTACCTTTCCTGCAATTTTAGCAAGTACATTTTCCCCCTGTATTTGATGTCCAATCCTATTAGCCTAATCCATATAGGAATCCTGTCAATTGTTTCCTTTTTCATATCAATGTCCTGCTTCCAAGGCTTGATTACTATTAGCTTTTTATCAAACATCTGGACTCCTTCCTCAACTGTTCTGTTTCTAGCTTCTTCAGATTGAAATCTCACAAGGAAAACTCCCTTATTCACTACTGCAACTTTGTCAATTCCTCTATTTCCCCAAATTCTATTGAAATAACCTTCCATAACTGCTAGAGGTGGATTAGATCCCAGCACATGCATATCAAATCACTGTTGATTTCCAGTACTCGACCTCCTTCTTAATATTGTCAATTATGATTTTCACATTTTGATATGTCAATTCCTCACTACTCAAGTCGAATCCTTCAGTTTGAGGAATCGGCCCCACTCATTACTCCATGAATTCACAGTTTGTTGCGATTTTTCCGCCTCTGCTTCCTCCATCGCTTCTTCTTCTACCATATTCGCCCATGAGCTCTTCCCGCTACTCATCCTGTTGCTGTTTCCACTTCTATTTACCAATTTGCATTGGTTTGGCGTCTGATCCATCGTTCCTTTTGCTAAATTCAGCGGTGCAATTCCTTGGAGCACATTAATACTTTTAGTTTTCTTCGCATCTGTAGATTGCGGTACATTCTGCTTTCCTCCATTTGTGACATTGCTCTGCTATTGTTTTTCTCCTCCTCCAGCTTTCGATTTCCTACCCATGACTAGCTTTCACTAAGAGGAAATTTTCATTCTAGAGAGAGATTTTTTACGGTGTTTAATCTCATTTTTTTCACGATACAAAGACAATTATATACAGTATAATTTTCGGCGAAGGATGTACGCTTGACCACCCTTGACACATAGGTTTGCTACGCTACTGGTAATAGTGAGTTAGATATCTTAATCAGTTTACCAATTAATATTTGTCATAAAAATAAATCTACAATTACTTTATAAGTGACCACATTGTGTAATGTTTTTAACACCACAAGTGCAGAGTTAAGGTATTATAAATACCTATGTGTAGGGGTGTGCATTTGAATCGATTTATCGATAAATCGAATCGATTATTTGTTATCGATTTATCGATTTCGATTTCGATTTCGAAATTTTTTTTATCGAGTTATCGATTTCGATTTCGTCCTCTCCGGTTATCGATTTATCGATAAATCGATAAAATATACTAAAAAGACAACTAAACCCCTATTCTATAATACAATTTCCTCTAACCTAACTTATTATTTCCATTTTCCTCTACCCTTATTATTTCCTAATTTCCTCTATCCTAGCCTATTATTTCATTTCACCCGCTCAGCGCCTCAGCCGCTTCTGTGCTCTCCAGATTCTGAAGACTGAAGTTCCTCAAGAGTCAAGCCTCAACGTTTTTAGCATAACTCTTCACTCAAAATTTTCTTCACTCAAAATTACTCCTTTTTCGGTTTCTCCCACAGATCTGGTAATTCTCTTTCTCCAAATAGGTTCTTTCAGTTTTTAGAATTTTGTTCTTCACGTTTTTCTTGTTTGCATTTCACAGATCTTGTTTGTATGTGTTTCGTTAGTTTTGTACTTAAGAATAATTGAAATGAAAGCTTTTATACACATCCTTTGTTTGGTTATATTGTATCTATAAGAGTTCATCCTTTGTTAATGTGGGTTTTCTTGCTAGTACTGGATTTCTATTTCTATATATATTTCCTCTATAGAAGACCAAAAAATTGATTAACTTTTAGCTAATTATAAAAATTAGGGTTTAAATTACTGAAATCTATTTTTTTTCTAAGTGAAGTTAGTTTGTAATGCAATTGAAAATAGGAAAGTTAAAAGAACTTATATGTAAAGTATGGTGGAGGATTTGACACGGGTGCGGTGGAATTTAGGAGGATCCAAGCAACATAGCCTATAACGACCATTAATGTTGAAAAAATCAGAAATTAGATTTTACCTTGTAGGTTGCTGATGATAACATGGAGATAGTTAAACTGCAAGAATACTCTGTCCTCCTTAACAGATCTCCCTAATGTTACCAAAAATGTTACTCTTTTCTCTTGCAGATTTTCCTCCTCGTAATATTGGTTCTTTTAGTATAGTCTTGATCCATATTAACATTATGTTTTTATAGAATGATTTGTAAGACTGCTTTTATGCCGATAAACTTGCAGTAATACGAGCTATCTAATGTTGATATGTCCTGCATTAAACAAAAGTATCCTTAATAAATCATCTTTTCTGCATGTGAACAGCTACATCTGTGAATTAACGAGATATTTCCTCCATGCAGTTCAACTGATAATTAAAGGATATCGTGGAAATGGCAACCTATATGTGGAGGAAATATGCAGATTATGTGTACACAAAGTGGGAGAAGACAATTCTATGGGATATGGTCGAACCATTTAGGAGACCAAAATCGTTTACACCTCTTGTCACAATCTATGTTTGTGCATTTTATACAGGGGTTATTGGGGCAGCCATCACTGAGCAACTCTACAAGGTATAGTTGCTTTAGGTCCTTAATTTTGTTACACTAAATGCTTGGCTTTTTGTTTGGAAAAACTTGGAATTGAAACTTCATGAAGTTACTTTTGGAACTTGAAAGCACCACTGCGTTTTTTGGTTGGAGGGGTAGAGCAGGATTATAAAACCCCCGATATAGTTAGTTGGACAAATGCAGGATTGAGTGGAAATGCATATAATTGTGTCATGTTAGCCTGCTCGTGCTAACTTCCTTCACCTTGCTACTTTGTTTAGAAGAGGGTCGTTGAGTCAATGATGAGTTATTATAAATCAAACTCTTAACTTTTGCTACTTGCTCATTTATACATGGAAAGTGCGACTTTAAAGAATGGAAGTTCAACACATTATTTACTTGTCAGAAAAAGAGCTCCACTCATTATTCAGAAGTTTCATTAATTTGATTTTTATAATAAATGGTTCTAAACTATGATTGATCATTTTTTAGTTCATGAACAAGCTTCAGTTATCAGTTTAGTATTTTCAATGTGCAAATCCTATGGTCGGGACTCGTACATAGTTTGATTTGACCTCCCTATCTGAAAAGATATTGCAGTCAAGGTAGGAGAATCATCTGAATTTGTCTCTGTCTTATCTAGTCACATTGATCCATTTCTTTTGCTTCTTCTCCTTTGATCTAATTCTTATTTTTCAGTATGCATCTGCTTTTCGGAATAAGTTATCTTTCCCTCTAGCTATAGCCTTTTTTAAAAATATTTTGTATAAGTCATTGCCATTTCAGAAGATAAGTAGCTTACTCATGTTCTGTATCATATGAGCTATATAGAAGTACTCATTTGTTCAAAGTAGATGACTTTCCCTTGTATATTAAGAATCAAATTTACTTTTTCAGCCTTTAGTTTACTGTTTATTCTAAATTCTTGTCTTAATGTAAGAGCTTTTCCCCACTATAATANCTACTCATGTTCTGTATCATATGAGCTATAGAGAAGTACTCATTTGTTCAAAGTAGATGACTTTCCCTTGTATATTAAGAATCAAATTTACTTTTTCAGCCTTTAGTTAACTGTTTGTTCTAAATTCTTGTCTTAATGTAAGAGCTTTTCCCCACTATAATAACAGGAAAAATACTGGGAAGAACACCCTGGGCAAGAAGTGCCTCTAATGAAGCCGATGTTGTATGGCGGCCCTTGGAGAGTAATGAGAGGTGATGTTCCTCCTATGGGAAAGTTTAATCTCTGAGCAGCAGTCAGTTGATAGTTATAAGGTATCTAATATAAGCTCTATGAAAAGGAAAAGTAGCGAGATATGTTGTAGGTGCACACGAGTTCAAAATTCTATCTGTGAACCAAGTTTAGTATATACGTAGAGAAGGGTAGAAGGGCATACCCATTATCCACTGAAAAGGGAAAGATACCACTTTCTTTGCATTTATCGTGTGTTTATATTTGACCTATCCTCACTTGTAAAGATTTTAATCTAGCTGTTTACTATGTTGTCGGGCGTTTTTCTGATCCTTACCGGGTTGTTTAGGGCAAGTCTAGTAGTATCTCGTTGTTGTTCCTAGAGTGCTAGTATTACGGCTACTTCTTACTATCTTCTGCTTCAGTTTTTCGCTGCTTGTGCCTTGTTGCTATTGCTTTCCTTCATCTATTTTTTTTAGTTCTTACATTGTTGTTATTATTTTTCTGGCTGTTGTTGTTGATATTTGATTGTTTGTATTCATCCTCTCGAGCCGAGGGTCTTTTGGAAACAACCTCTCTACCTCCCAAGGATAGGGGTAAGGTCTGCCTACACACTACCCTCCCGGACCCCACTTGTGGGGATTGATTTCGTTGGTTTTGTTATTGTTATTACTATGTTGTCTGAGATAGATGGGTTATGAAAAGTAATGAGAAGTGACTTGAGCAGCATTTGCGCTACAGTTACACTATTGCAAACTACTCTAAGAGAAGTAGTTATATTAGAAACCATAATACTACTAACAATTAACAACTTAAGAGTTACTATTGTCTATATAGGTTTCTAATGTTTACTAATTTATTTTGGTCCTTCCCCATCTCTAATTTCCCCTTGTCTTTCTTCTTATTTAAATTGGTGATATTCTTTTGAAGAGAAATTTCATTACATTCCTAGTTTTGTATTTGTGTATGTATAAAATATCAAAGCAAATGATTTAACACGGCTGAATTTCCCAAAATGTATAAAGTTTCATTTCCATCAATGTCTGAAAATTTTGTCCAAAGGACATATAGTACTTTAGTGGAGTGTTCTCTTTTAACAATTGCTGTTGCAGATTATTGAAATGACCTGTCAACCGAGGTTTATAGCTTAGTGGGTAAAAATTGCACGGGGTGATTTGGTCGCCCACATTTAACCTATACCCATTTTTTAAAAACTTTTAACGTGTACCTACTTTTTAAATAACTTCAGCCCCATTTCTCCTTCTTCGTTTTCTTCTTCTTTCTTCTGCTGTTGTTGGTGCTGCTATGGAACTAAAGAAAGAGCCATATGTGTCATTGTCATACGTCTTTGGTGTCTGATTATGTGTGTGACCCAATCGATTCAACTGTCTTAGACCTTAGAACAATAAGCTGATCAGCTAAAGAAAAGAAATGTAGAATCTAAATCATAAAAATAGTACAAAAGATAAAACAATATTTCCCCAGTGTAAATATCCTATGACACTTCCCTTAGGAACTTAAACTGAGTAAAAATAGAACTTTAACATATTATCTTTAGGCTAGTATTGAATAGGTTTTACTCCTCTTTCTCCTTCTTCTTTATATAGTGTTAGAAGTTTTTACAAATGAACTAAATAACTTTAGCTCTAGAGCTTTAGAGCTGAAGTTCGCCAGTTACAGAACAAAACTTCAGCTCTAAAGCTGAAGTTCGCCAGTTACAAAAACAAAAACTTAAGCTCTAGAGCTGAAGTTCGCCAGTTACAAAACAAAAACTTCAGCTCTAGAGCTGGAGTTCCCCAGTTACAAAAACAAAAATTTCAGCAATGCAAATAGAGAACAAAACTTCAGCTACTATGCTTAAGTTCAACAATTACAAATAAAAACTTCAGCACACTTGTTACTTCAGGCCCGTCTACTAGAATGCTGAAATTTTGCGTGATTGCCTTTGCCACTTCAGCCACGTATGCTGAAGTTATGCGAAAAAGCGGGTACGCTTGCATTTGTTTTTTGCAAAGCGGGCACAAGTTAAAACGTGACACAAAAAGCGGATATAGATGCAAATGCCCCGCTTAGTGGTCTATGAAGTGGGTTGAGAGTTGGGTTCAAACTTCAGCGAAGGCAAAAAAATAGGTGATTTCTTTTGAGGAATTTTTAGAAACAACTATTATTTAGTGGATATTAACTTCATATAGCTATCATATACATAATTACTTCCTATAGCTACTATTTAGTTGTTACGCGACTGTATTCACTGTATTTGCACTACTGTATTCATGAATACAGTAGTGGAATTTCGCCTAAAAATAGGGAATTCCAGCCATTTAACAATGGAAAGAGGATCAATTAGTGTGTATCACTCCTATTAACTCAACAAAATCAATTCTACATAAATTTTGATGCTACTATGTTGCATTCCATGTATTCGCGCGACTATATTTATAAATACGAGGTAATCCGCCTAAAAAAATGGATTACAATTGTTTAATTGTATTCGCGCAAATGTATTTATAAATACAATGGGGTAATCTGCCTAAAAAATAATGATTACGAGTGTTTAATAACGGAAAGCGCAATATTGAATTGTATTCAATTTCACTATATTGAATTCTATTGTATCCAAACAACAAAAAATCAAGAAATAGGATGTATACCGTTCTATTCAATTCGACTGTATACATTATATTCAATTCACAAATATTCATTATTCATTATTATATATTGTATTCAATTTTACTGTATTCAAACAACAAAAAAACACAAAATACAGCGATATTCAACTGTATTAAAAAAATATAAACCTTCGAAATACATAGATATAGGCGAAAAATAAATGTATTTATACAAAAATTATAATGTATTTGAGTGTACTTGTACATATTATAATGTATTTGTATCATTGTATGTGACTAAATAGCAAAAAAGAAGAAAAAAATTGCCGGAGATGGCGTTTTCCGGCCAAGCAAAATATTGTATACATTGTATTAAAAATAAAATGGAGACGAACAAAAACCCAGCCCTCAAATCTTCTCCTACGTAGCCATGGCCAGATTTGTTCGCCTAAGAGGATGAGCCAATAGTGGATGATGACGCCGACAATTTTGACGACAACCACGATAATAACGTCGACGATTCTGCTGATTCGAAGGAGAAGAGAGAGGATTGAAATTCTTGCTGATAGAGAGAGAGAGAAGGAAGAGATAGAGAAAGAACATAATTTGCGTATTTCATGCCTCAATGGTAGGTATAAATAAATACCTATATTGCTATAAAATAGAAAAGGTAGTTATAAGTAATAATATTTTGAAATATTTTGGTTTATAATAAATAGAGTGTAATAGTTTACTATAGGAGGTAAAATTTTCATTTCTTTTCATATGTCGAGGTCTTACTAGACTGAGTTACCTAGTACTTGTATTAATGAGAGATAGCAAGTACCTCGTAAAATTAATCTAGGTGAGCGTAAGCTAACCGGGATACCACACTTATCAAAAAAGACTGGGGCAAGTGCATAAATAGCCATTCTCAAGGATGCTATTTAGAGATTAGTCAGTATTTATTTTTGTTGAAATGTTAAACTAAAAGTTTTAACTTCAGAACAATTCAAAATATTTTTGTTAGAAAAATTGGAATTCAGGACGTACTGGCTAATTTCTAAATAGTAGCCCTTTAGAATGGCTATCTGGGATCGTTTCTGCAAAAAGATTATTGAAATGACCTAACCACAGAGGGACAACTCTTACCAAGTTTCATAAAGGAAATTTTACCTCCTATAGCAAACTATTACACCCTATTTGTTGTAAACTAAAACAATTTCAAAATATTATTACCTATAGTTATATTTTCTATTTTATAGCAAACTAAGTATTTATTTTATACCCTACCATTGAGGCGTAAAATATACCAGTTATGTTCTCTCTCTCTGCAAGATTCTTAATCCTCTCTCTTCTCCCTCAAAATCTTTCTCCCTTTTCCATCAAGGCACCCGTAGTAACAACCATTTTTGGTGGCGATGATGGACTTTCTGAAGCTAAGAGAATAGATCTGAAGCGAAGAGGGAGTAGGCGAACAGATCTGGCCATGGCTACGGATTGAGCTTTTAGAAATCTGAAGCAGAGTCATTGGAGAAGATTTGAGGGTGGCTTTTGTTCGTCTCCATTATTAGTTTTAATACAATGTATACATTATTTTGCTTGGTCGGAAAACGCCATATCCGGAGAACTTTCCTCTCTTCTTTGCTATTGAGTCACATACAATGATACAAATATATTGTATTATGTACAACTACACTCAAATACATAATATTTTTGTATAAATACATTATTTTTTTTCGACTGTATTTATGTATTCCAAAGGTCTGTATTTTTTTAATAGTGCCGAATATTATTGTTTTTCTGATTTTTTGTTTTAAATACAATCGAGTTGAATACGGTTCATCATGACCGTTTCTCGTTTTGAGGAGTTTTAAGGCCATAAAATTGTAATTCATGACGATTTCTAATTTTTTGTGTGCTAATGTCCACGCCATCTTCATGAATTCGGTCGACGAGCTCCAAATCGCCTAAAATTTTGTGGTTCCATCATAAACGATCTAATGAACAATAGTCATTACTTCGCCATAACCGTTCCTTGTTTGTTGGCGTTTTAGGGCCATAAAACAGGATTTCAGGACGATTTCCAATTTTGGTATGTTAATGTCCACGCTATCTTCTTGAATTCGTGCGCCGGTCTCCAAATCACATAAAATTTTGTGTGCCCATTAGAAACTACCTAATGAATAATAGTTATTGCTTCGCCATGACTATTCCTCATTTTTTTGACGGTTTAGGGCCATAAAACAGGAGTTCAGTTTGTTTTCCAATTTTTCATGTACTAATGTCAACGCCATTTTCATGAATTCTGGGGACGGGCTCCCAATCACCTAAAATTTTACGAGCCCATAAAAAATGACCAAATGAAAAATAATCATTGTTTTGCTATGATCGTTCCTCATGTTTTGGCTTTTTAGGGCCATAAAATAGGAATTCAGAAATATCCCAATTTTCGTATGCTAATGTCCACACCATCTTCATGATTTCGGGCGACGGATTCTGAATCGTCTAAAATTTTGTGGATTCATTTGAAACGACCTAATAAAAAATAGTCATCACTTCGTCATGACTGTTCCTCGTTTTTTGACGTTTACGGCCATAAGACAGGAATTCAAGACGATTTCTAATTTTTTGTGTGCTAATATCCACACCATCTTCATGAATTCGGGCGACAGGCTCTGAATCGCCTAAAATTTTGTGGGCCGACTACAAACAACCTAATGAACAATAGTCATCTCTTCGCCATGTTTGTTCCTCATTTTGTAGCATTTTAGGGCAAAAAAACAGGAATTTAGAATGATTTCCAATTTTCGTGTGCTAATGTCCACGTCATCTTCATGAATTGGAGCGATGAGCTATGAATT